GCTGCTATGATGTGATGTGCAATGAAGAAGGGTGATTGTTCGAAACGTCGCTGCTTCAATATTTATTTTTAAGCGCATGTTAATTGCATGTTGCATTAAGGTTAGTTTCTTCTCCAAAACGATATTCTCTTTCAAACGTACAATGGTAACAATCTTTAACATTTTCATGTAAAAATAACTACCGCATTGACCTCGCTATCATACAAATTTGTGATTTAGAGATACGATCGATCGTAGGAGAGAGAAAAAAAATGGACAGCATTTTCCACGGTGGCTTGAACAAACGAGCCACTTTTGTGCCAAACGCTCAAGGCGAATATAAATTGCTCCGAATTATGAAACCCTGTAAAACAGATATCATTGCGCCCTCTGGTGACACCAAATGTATTGTAACAGTATTTAGTTGCGGTGTTTCACTTGACAACAGGATGTTTTAAGTATTGTTTATCGATTCAAATCCAAGTGTCTCCCTGCTCAAACGAGCAACGGGGCTGGGGGCAGAAAATCCACGTTCCCATGTCAAAAGCCACTGTATGCTTAGGGGCCGTCCATAAATGACGTCACGCGATTTTGGACGATTTTTTACCCCCCCCCCTTCGTCACACGGCGTCACAAAAAGTCAGACCCCCCCTCTCAAATATGACGTCACAAAGCTCTGCCCCCCCCCCAAAAAAAAACATGCTTCAAATCGCTTTAAACTATTGTCATTGTAGTGCGTATTTAATGTGGTGCTGCACTCTGATGTTGTAGGACAAAACATTTATTTTAAAAAAGTCTATTTAATTAAGTAGAACGTGTTGTCTATATTAATTTAAAGTTGCGCATTTTGATGTGACGTCACATTTCTCAAACCCCCGCCCCCTCGTCACACATCGTCACAAATGTCTAACCCCCCCCAACCCCCCTAGGTGCGTGACGTCATTTATGGACGGCCCCTAAAGACGACCCTGACGTCCCATATAAAGCCGAATAAGCGGTCGACTTGAGATTGCATTAACACAGTGGGGTCAGACCAGGAGCCAGCCTTGAGGCAAAGTTATGCAAAGCGGCATTCGATGTTCTCAGGGTAAAAAAAAAATAATCGGTGAAACTAATGCAGACGGAGAGAACGTGAGCATTCTTAAGTTTTTGTGTGTAAATTGTTATAATTCAATACTTAGTATTTATTACAGAAACCAACAGAATGTATATAAAGTTAACATTTATATGTTCCTATTATTACTGATCGCACAGCATATGTACTCTTACTGCTCGGTATAAAACCAGTTTATGAGCACTGGAATTAAAATCGAAGACGAAATTCTCAACAGCAACAAAGACAACACCCTCCAAACTAACCGCGCTTATTTCTCAATGAAAAAAAAATAACAACCAAAGGGCTGCCACTTATATAAGTGACGACGGCACGTGGGGTGGGGGGTGCCTATGAGTCACCACGCCTCAATACCACCGGTCCCACGTGGCCGCGTGCGTGCAGGGCGACTTTAATCCACGTGGCAGGTCCAGCCAGTCCTGGTGACGTACACACCCCAAACGCCCTCTGACACACGATTGCATTTCGCAGTTCACTTCGGCGGTGACCGTATTGTCCGGATTGGACGCGACGTCCCGGAAAAGTCGGAATCTATGGGGTGTTTTTTTGGGGGGGGCTGGAGGAATCCGATAAGCTGTGAAGTTCTTTCTAACGGATGTCCAGTAAAAGGGGGCACGGGGTCAGAAAGTTACAACAATACGAAGACACGATGGGAGTACAAAGTATAGGAAAGGTTAGCGAATCATGAATTACCAGGTAAAGTTATTACATTATTTTTCAGAAGCGACCTGGCGACAAATAGCTCAACGAAGTGGCTGACCATCACGTGGAAATGTATAGCAGACAAATAATCTAAACGGCAAGTTGCTTCTTAACGTGGAGGGGAAAACTGGAGGACCCGGAGAAGAACAAATCCACGGGAAGAGAGAGAGAGACACACACAAACTCCAAATATACAGCAGCAGGCGTCGGGATCGGGATCGAACCCACGCCCTCCTGCATACCAGACGCCACCCCAAATTGTACCCGGTGTCAATATCTCGTCTGATACACAACTACCCGGGACATATCGATGCACCCCCCACCCCCTCCTCCCGCAACGTTTGCTTACCAAACTCCCCCCCTCCACCCAGTATACAGAAGGGTGAAATCTCCGTCTTCCTAATCTGCTGAGTGCGGTTCAGAGTCCGGCAAAATCGCACGCGCGTAGGGCCCCCATTCGACAGAGCCAGCGCTCTGCCATCTTACTAAGGGGTGGCAATCGCGACACGAGTGGCGCCACAGGCGACGTGGGGGCCCATTCCGCTCTTAAGGCCACGTTGCTTTAAAATTCTTCGTTTTTTTTATCCCCCCCCCCCGTATGGCTGATGTCAAACTCCGAGCACTTTAGCTCCCCCACCCTCCCTCCACTTTGAGCAAACACGCGTTTGGAGTAGCTGACTACTGCTATGAATTGCCACGTGTTAAGAAGTCACTTGTGGCCAGGTCGCTTCTGAAAACGAGCTACATAGCTCAGTGGGCATTTTAACCCAAAGCCGGAATTATATATTAGTGGGGACCCCCCCACTCCCATTATTCATATATGCTCAAAATGACCCCCCCCCTAATATGTTGCTATAAAAATATAATTGCTATGCTATGTAAAAAAAAACAATTTGCTAAACCTTGGTCACAATATCTAGACTTGTCTTCATATAAATCAATGCATATATGATTGTGGTTATGGTTGTAATTTATTAATCCCTAATCTATGCCATTACATACAATGAAACAAGAAATGGTAAAAAAACAGCAATGTAATCCAATACACTATTCGACATTATTGTAAAAAAAAAGTCGATCCCATGTGTTAGTGAATTTTTTTATATTTTAGGCAGGAAATTTTGATATTTTTCTGGGTTGGGACCCCCAGACACCCTGGAAGATTTGGTCCCCCCCCCCCCCCCCCCAATGTTGACTCCATGGCTACGGCCTTGTTTTTACCTGGTTAGATTTAAATATATATATTTAAATAGATATCTACACCTGCCATGGTTTGTGCAATGGATGCAGTTTAGGATGCACCATGAACTTTCGTGGAAGATCACAAACCCAGAGGGAACCTGCGTTAGGGCTCAAAACACAGAATAAAAACGTCAGATTAATTAATAACCCCTTACTACGCGAGACGGCCGACATGAATCAGTTTCATTTCATTTATTTAGTATAGCCCTGTGAGCCATTCGGCTCTTGACCGTAACAAACAAAAACATGAACAAGAAAACATCTTAAAGTGATTATGTGGCTATGTACAAACAGAAAATCCAGGAAAAAACAGCAAAAATATTCCAGAAAAAGCACCGTACACCAACGCTGTGTGGAAAACCAATCGACACGCATTGGGTTGAGCATCGTGTGGAGCACACATCTCCATCGCGAGAGGTACACGATCTAAACGTCAATAGCTTAACACGGGGTGTGTGGAGCGCTATTCCCTGCTCACGTCCAACACCAGTGACGAGTATCTGAACCGGTCCCGGGCCTCCCCTAGGTCGACTCAGCCTCAAATGAGTATCTGGTGCGGTGTGTAGTAAATATCGCCACTGGGGAGACAAAGGCGGCCGGGCGTGGTTTTGGCCAGCCACCTCCTCGTGTGCCACAGTGCCGGCCTTTATAGGTGCTCGCTAACAGCACTTGCCCCAACAGTCTGTTAAGGCTATACGGGGGATCTTTGTCTTTGTGTGTGTGGCTGGTGTGTGGGTGTAGCTGGCTGGGTGGGTGTGTGAGTGTGTGCCTGGGTGTGTGGCTGGGTGTGTGGGTGGCTAGGTCTGTGAGTGGCTGGCTGGGTGTGTGTGTATGTGGCTGTGTGTGAGTGTGTGTGATAGTGTGTTGTGGCTGTGTGAGTGTGTGGCTGTGTGTGTGAGTGTGTGGCTGTGTGTGAGTGTGTGTGATAGTGTGTTGTGGCTGTGTGAGTGTGTGTGTAAGTGTGTGGCTGGGTGAGTGTGTTAGTGTGCGTCTGTGTGTAAGTATGTGGCTGTGTGTGTAAGTGTGTGGCTGGGTGAGTGTGTTAGTGTGTGTAAGTGTATTAGTATGTGGCTGTGTGTGTAAGTGTGTGGCTGGGTGAGTGTGTTAGTGTGTGTCTGTGTGTAAGTATGTGGCTGTGTGTGTAAGTGTGTGGCTGGGTGAGTGTGTTAGTGTGTGGCTGGGTGTGTAAGTGTGTGGCTGGGTGAGTGTGTTAGTGTGTAAGTCTGTGTGTAAGTATGTGGCTGTGTGTGTAAGTGTGTGGCTGGGTGAGTGTGTTAGTGTGTGGCTGGGTGTGTAAGTGTGTGGCTGGGTGAGTGTGTTAGTGTGTGGCTGGGTGTGTAAGTGTGTGGCTGGGTGAGTGTGTTAGTGTGTGTAAGTGTATTAGTATGTGGCTGTGTGTGTAAGTGTGTGGCTGGGTGAGTGTGTTAGTGTGTGTCTGTGTGTAAGTATGTGGCTGTGTGTGTAAGTGTGTGGCTGGGTGAGTGTGTTAGTGTGTGGCTGTGTGTGTAAGTGTGTGGCTGGGTGAGTGTGTGGCTGTGTGTGTAAGTGTGTGGCTGGGTGAGTGTGTTAGTGTGTGTCTGTGTGTAAGTATGTGGCTGTGTGTGTAAGTGTGTGGCTGGGTGAGTGTGTTAGTGTGTGTCTGTGTGTAAGTATGTGGCTGTGTGTGTAAGTGTGTGGCTGGGTGAGTGTGTTAGTGTGTGGCTGTGTGTGTAAGTGTGTGGCTGGGTGAGTGTGTTAGTGTGTGTCTGTGTGTAAGTATGTGGATGTGTGTGTAAGTGTGTGGCTGGGTGAGTGTGTTAGTGTGTGGCTGGGTGTGTAAGTGTGTGGCTGGGTGAGTGTGTTAGTGTGTAAGTCTGTGTGTAAGTATGTGGCTGTGTGTGTAAGTGTGTTAGTGTGTGTCTGTGTGGCTGTGTATTTGCCCCACGCAAGGTGGCCGGCTAAACCCCAACCCCCGTGACGCTACCCAACTTGGCCCCGCCCATCACCCCCCATCACCCCCCCCCTCTCCCGGCCTCTCCGCTGTAGCGATCTTGTGTGGAGGCCGACCGCCGTCTCGTGATCCAGGAAGACTTCTCTCTCGGCGAACAGCGGACAGTCGTGTCGAGTTAAGGTAAGAGGAGGGGCATCATCATCACCATCATCATCATCGTCGTGTCCGTGTCGTTGATCGTTCGCGTGGCGGTCAGCTACGAACCCGGCGAGCCGAGTTCGATTTCCGCTCAACGCGGCCAACGCCGGTGACGATTGTCCGAACCGGTAACCGGTGGGCCCTCCTCGGCCTCGGACGAGGACATTGATGCGGGGAGACAAAGGCGGCCCCGGGCGTGGTGTTGGCCACCATCGGGTGCTACTGTCGAGGCTATACGGAGCAGGCTAGAGATGGGGGGGGGGGGGGTCTTTGTCTTCGTCGTTAAAGTTAATACTGTGGGGGGCCCCCTCTCAATGGGGGGGGGGGGGGTCCTTTTGAATGGGGGCCCCCCTCTGAATGAACGGCATCGGTTATGAAGAGGCGGTCAGTGGGCAACTACATTCCCAAGTCGCCGACATATCCGGAGTGAATGTACCCCCCCCCCCCCACCCCTATTAGACCCCGTAGTGTCACATCCACTTGTGGTTTGAAGGGTCTGTCGGTCCTGGTTAGAGGTAGGGAGACGTGGAAGGAGTGGGGGGGGGGGGGTGTTTGACCATACTTCACCACGCTGGACTGTGGAGGATGCCGTTTTGAGATATCGCTCACCGCACTCACTGTTAGCCTTGGCTGGGGATTGAACCCTGGCCGGCTGTGGTCACATCCGAGCGATGATTAAACACACCCCACCACCCTCCCTGCCCTTTGGCTTTTGTTCTTAATTGTGCTGCCTTGTTAATACGCCCGCTGAAATAAACGTCGCTCATTACATCCAAGGCTATACATCTTCATCACATCCGTTGCCTTTCGTCTATAAGTAAAAACAGCGACAACAACATTGGGTAGCTGACGTTCTGCCGGGTTAATGCGAGAACTTTGTGTGAGTATTCAACGGGTAAAGTTTGACTCGAGCAGACCCGGTGGCATCTACCCGCATATGCCACGTTTAGCAGCTGTTGCCAACGCGACCGATACGTGTGGGATGTATCCCAGCAGCTGTTTCTGTACTTCTATGCTTCCCCCTGTCAGCCTGTCTTCACCAAACCAGCACTGACCAGCGTGGTGAAGTATGGTCAAAGAACCCCACCATGCCCGCCACGGCGTGGGTTCGGAGCATTCTTTCGTCAAGCAGTGGATTGACAAAAGGGATGTTCGTTTACCGTACAGCTGTTACGAGTAAGCTGGTCAAGAATGTAAATGTAAAATTTAGATTCAAAGCTTTCGTGACTGCAGGGATTCATATTCTTGGCTCTTTCGGTAAAGTCACGTAGAAGGGAACTAATCAAATAATACAAATATAAAACAATACAAATTCTCACGACGTTTCGACTGCAACACAAGCACTCATCATCAGGTGTGAAATCTACAGCAAGAAAATTTTAAAAAGTGCCACGTTTACCAGCTGTGGATTTCACACCTGATGATGATGATTGCTTGTTGTTGCAGTCGAAACGTCGTGAGAATTTTGATTGTTTTATATTTGTATTATTTTATTAGTTCCCTTCTACAGTGACTTTACCGAAAGAACCAAGAATATAATGTAAATGTAGTCCAGCTTTTGAGAATGTAATTTGTAATATTTATCTGCATAGCCTCGGATTCTGTATTGGCCCTAGGAATACGTTGGCATATCTCAGCAGTCAGCCCATTTCTGTGATCGCTTATATGAGATTACAACTCCCAAGTTATATTCCATGTTTGAACCTGTAATAGTGTAATAGGATCAGCGTTTAGTTTGAATATTTGTTTTTTACATTCGTTGAATGAGTAACGTGGCTCATTCAAATGGACACCTCCGATTAGCACGGCTGGCTCGGTACGGCACGAAAGAAGTTCAACGTACATACGTATTTCCTGTCATGAATTAGACCAACAATGATGAATTAGACAGTGCGCAGGTTATAGACGTAATTATTTTGACTGTTAAGAACGTTGAAGTGGGGTTTGGGCAGGGTAACATCATTCGAAGGGACTATGAAGTCTGCTCGTGTGCCAGGTGTTGGGGGGGTTGATTGTTAACATCGCGGGGACCCTGAAAGGTGGCGGCGAATTAGGTGGACGCCTTCATCAAGCAGTGGATGGATCCTGGCTACTGGTGATTAAGATCCTGCCCCTTATGCTGCATGACAGCCTATCAATCATCCCCACCCCCCACCCAGAGTTACTCCCTTTAAGTTGTGACGCAAGTTTCCCCAACTATTGACGTAACGACAAGCGCAACTGCAAACACAAACGCGACAATAATAGCCCAGTTGACGTGAATGAACACGCACCAGTTTGGTACCATCGTTTAGGCCACGATATTTCAAAATAGGAAATTCCTCTACCTGCTTGAGGTGGGTTCTCACAAGAATGATAAATACTCAACAGACAAGCATCTGTTTCGTCACAAAAAACCAACATTTTTTTCCCCTGTGAAATTGTTGACCATTAAACATTTTTCTTATTACAGAAACACACTCTGGACCGCTTTTCTAATGCTGATGAATTGCAGGGTGCTATAGGCAAGAACCAGACCTAAATCATTTTGTGCGGTAGATAAAATTTGTAAAAAAATATAACACCTCGTTGTGGAATATCGGTAATGTACATATTGAAAACTACACTTCATGTTTTAATTTCGTGTTACGTTAACAGATGTGTCATGTTTCTGCACAAAATGAGTGTGAATGATTTAACGTGATATTTTATTAATGTGCAAAGGGATTAATTATTTGACGAAGGTATAATGAGCTTACGTTGTTCAAACACTCGAGCAGATATCCTGCATGCCTTCTGCGGTCAGTCCTCTATAGCAAAGTAGAGTTGAGCTTGGTTACTACAGTTCTTGGCTGGGCAAAGTCCTGGGAGTGCCAGGTGTTGTAGGCTTGGGTTGCGAGGTAGTCAGGAGATGGCAGTACGGCGGTATATTTTGAATGCATCGGTGCGGAGTTTTGAGTGTGTTCCTCTCCTTGTATGCGTCGGTTATTCTCTGAGCTTTCTCCCACATGCCAAACACTCAAGTGTCTTGAGATCCATTTATATGAAGACACTTCATGAAATAAAATATTGCTGTATTGTTAAATAACATTCACAGGTTAAAGACATTGTCTTGACTGTTGTGCAAAGTTAGTGGGTTTGGGCAGAACACAGCACTAGGAAGGGATGATGGGTGTTTAATGAGACTAATGATGGAGTGACGGACAGAAGAAGGAGGGAGGGGCCGTGCTTGAGAGTGTATCCACCACGAAAGGACGTCCACCATCGCAGGTCTGTGAGAGATGGTGATGGCTAAGGAAGGCTTTTATCCAGAAATAGACTATTAATGACTGATTATGATAACGATGATTATCTACAATAGGGATGGGGGGGGATCCTTTCTTGACTAGGGGCCGAATAGAACTTTCTAATGCCTTTGCTGGGCCAAACTTTAACACGCGTATGTATGTACGTATGTTGAACATCCTTCATACTTAGCCAACCGTGCTAATCGGAGGTGCAAACAACACACACACACACACTTCAGTTAGTTCTGTCTCCGCAGAAGCCGGAGGAGACACCCGCCGACGGTCAGCCATGGCCACGTACCAGGAGTTCATCTCCCAGGGCGAGGAGCGCGACGGCGTGCGCTTCAGCTGGAACGTGTGGCCCTCGAGCCGCATCGAGGCCACCAAGCTGGTGGTGCCCCTCGGCGGGCTCTACACGCCGCTCAAGGAGCGGCCCGACCTCCCGCCCGTGCAGTACGAGCCGGTGCTTTGCAGCCGCGCCACGTGCCGTGCCGTCCTCAACCCGCTGTGGTGTGTAGCGCTGGCAGGGCTTCCACACCCACCCGACCCCCCCACGCCCCCCAACCCTCCCACCCAACCCCATGGAGTAATAACAAGCCTGACCTCTGACCCAGCAGCAACCGACTTTGTTTCGGGGGACGTTAATAAGATGGGATTCAGCCAGGCGTTGTCGCCTCGGAGATTGTAGGGGATTGTGCAGACTTGATTTTTAAAGTTATAATCTGGTTGTCTTCCACACCCCTCCCTCCCCAATTGCATTACAATTGTGCTGCCGGTGTGACTTTGTGAGACGGATAAAACCTGTGGGGAAATCTCGCAGAGCAGTGCAGTCGCCCCTTGCGCGTTCAGGAACGGCCCCACGGAAGCAGATTTAGCCGTGTGTGAGACGCATATCCCCCAGGGCTATGAGGTGATTAGGAGAGGATGGTACAATACGCATACAAAATCTGTGCTGATGCTGCACTGGCACTGGTGCACAAAGTTAATAAATATATTAGTTAGGTTGCTGACCAATTAGCGTGAATTGATATAGTTATCCCATCATGTGGTCCCATATCACACTATGTAAGGAATTGCCCCAAACATCGTGATTCTGGACTGTACTAAAATACAATTGTGAGCTTCATCAATGCTTTCCCGGATAAAAAAGGACTTTTACAATTCTGTCTAGTCTTGAGCTGATCATTCGCCGTCATTCGTAAAATCTTTTTTTTTTATTCACAGCCAAGTGGATTACAACGCGAAGCTGTGGGCATGCAACTTTTGCCTTCAAAGAAATCCGGTTGGTAATTTTTGGCGTTTTGCCACAAACGTTTAATTACAGGTTCACATAAATCCACATATGCATTGGATTAATTATACAGAGTCTCCTCAACTTACGAACATTCAACTCACGAACTTTCAGAGATATGAAGAAACCTGTCCGTATGTCCAGCTGCCTGTTCGGACCGAGAGTCGTAAAGTTCAACCGCCGTGCAATAGACGGCGATGGTGGCATCTACGTCTGCAGAACATTAAGAACCAGTGGCATCTACATCTACAGGATATTATACAAATTTTAAAGCCACTCCCCGTGTTTAGTCTACATGCCGCACAACATGTTTGGAATGGACAGGAGTAAAGTTGTACTTACGAACAAATCAACTTACGAACAGACCTCTGGAACCTAACTCATTCGTAAGTAGAGGAGTCCCTGTAAACATGCACCTGTGTGGTTTGTGCACTGTTTGACAGTTTCCACCTACGTACGCTGGGATTTCAGAAGTGAACCAACCTGCAGAGCTCGTACCTCACTTCTCCACCATTGAATACATCGTACAGGTAAGAACGCTTCCCGTAAGCTATGCCAACAGTGTTTTAGTTTATCATCGCCAAATTGACCTCACCTACATCTACGGCAGAGGTCGCAAACGGGTTTTGATTCCTTACGCGTACCCGTACCCGGCCGTACCCTACCCGTACCCGACCGGGTACGGGTAGGGTACGGGTATCGGGTACCTGATTGCGATCTCTGGGATGAAGCCATGTTGCAGGCGCGGGTGAGTTGATTCTAGGAACTTAAATTGTGAGAAGAGACAAGATGTTGGGAAATGAGTGACAAACAGTTACTCACCAGTGACTCACGGTCTACCCGTACCCGTACCCGGCCGCACCAGGGTCGCAAATGGGTACCCGTACCCGGCCGGGTACGGGTAGCCCGGTATCGGGTAGGGTACGGGTATCGGGTACCCGGTTGCGACCTCTGATCTACGGCCCTTTGTCGGTCCGCTGCTGGATGAGAGCTCGCCATGTTGAGCGGTTCCAGGAGGGGTTATTCGACAGTACAGGTGGTCACCGCTTTTACGACCTTGCGACGCGTTCCTGGAAACCCCGTCTTCGTATATCTAGGACCCAGTTTTCCCACAGACAGTACAATCAGTAAAAACATCAGCCATGTTTAACAGGGTTTAATATGTAAAAATCCACAAAAAACATTTCAGAATAACAAAAGTCACACCGGAAACCAGACTGACCCTGTTCAGATGTGTTCGGAGTCATGTCGGAATATGCGTCGTGAATGTATCCATGGTGGCATTAAATATATGTCGTAAATGTGGATCGTCGTAAGCTAGAGACAGCCGTGCACTCCATTGTGGTCAGTGTGAATTGTTTAAGGTGGCCAGCATAGACATGAGAGCTTAGAGGCGCAGTGCAACTTTGGATGAAGCTGCAATTTTTCTGCTGCCAACCATGTAGACCCACTTGCCTATGACAACCCGCTGTAAATTTTATGAAAATATAATGGATTAAATAAATTTCGTGTCCCAATTTGGCACTTCAAAAGGTTGTCAGCAGGTGGCGCTAGCGTGAAGCGCTGCGCTCAAGAGAAGAAATGCCTGTCTTGTCGTGTGTTTGCATGAATGCATGTGTAGCTCTATGTATGTCGAAATTCTTTCACACCGTACCTAGCCAACCACGCTAATCGGAGGTGCGGGGGAAGAATAACAAACTAAACACAAAAAAGCAGTTCTAAAGAAGTGAGTTTTCAATCTGGATTTAAAAGTGCATAGCTCCAGTGGCTTCCTAATATCGGAAAGAAGAGCGTTCCGGAATAACGAAAAAGACCAATCGTGCCGTGAAATCTGTCTATTGCATGCGCGCTCAATCGATTGTCGCATCGAATCACTATAAAAGTTGGCGACGAGTGAGGGGGTGGGGGGGGGGGAACCTTCAATCAGAAGTGAGTTGACGATGGCCCACGACGATGACGACGACAGTAATGACGATAACGATGCGGGTCGCTGTCTGGCCCCTTCTCGCCCACAGCGCGGCACCACCCTGCCGCCCATCTTCCTCTACGTGGTGGACACGTGCCTGGAGGACGACGACCTGCAGGCGCTCAAGGAGTCGCTGCAGATGTCGCTGAGCCTGCTGCCGCCCGCCGCCCTCGTCGGCCTCATCACGTTCGGCCGCATGGTTCAGGTGCACGAGCTGGGCGCCGAGGGCATCGCCAAGAGCTACGTGTTCCGTGGGAGCAAGGACCTGGCGGCCAAGCAGATCCAGGTGCCTCCCGCCCCCCCCCATCCCCGACCAAGATCACAACTGTGTTGTGTCCTCGAAGTAATGTGTGCGGATGTACCACCTTGTCCCCCAGATATGAGTGGGTTTGGGGTGAGTGGGTGGATGGGGAAGGGTTTAAATGCTAAAATGGTGGTAACAATGGTGCAGCTCTGCAATTCCTTACTCATGCCACTGCTGGCAGAAGGGCCCACACTAGAGGATGCTCTGGAGTGTATTTTGGCTTAATTTTCCATGCTGGCCAGACATATTGGAAGAGGTAACAGTTTAACCCACCAATTTCCGACCTGCCAATGGACTGACAGTGTTGTGCTCATTTATGCTGGTTTCAACTGCTGAGCCGGCACATCAAATCAAACCACCGAACTCTGGATTGCAAGACCAGTGCTCGCTCACCATTAAAACACGGCAACATCCCGACTCAACAAGTATGGAAAATATTTATTACAATCCAGTAATGGTTTTTTTTTGTTTGTTGTGAACAGGATATGCTCGGGCTGATGAGACCAGTTGCTTCCCAAGGTGGCCAGGCTCAGCCAGTCCAGCCTCAGCATTCTCCAGTTCACAACCGGTAAAGGCTTCTCCTCGGTGGTGACATCCGACGACAACAACAACAACAGCAGCAACAACAAAAGACGACGCAGTCCAGCCCTTTGACTTGCGACGCACGCTCACAACGCTCGCCTTTCTCCGCCAACGTCTGCAGGTTTCTTCAGCCAGTGCAGAACATCGACATGGCCATGACGGACCTGCTGGGGGAGCTGCAGAGAGACCCGTGGCCCGTGCAGCAGGGCAAGAGGGCCCTGCGATCCACCGGCACTGCCCTCTCCATTGCCGTGGGATTGCTGGAGGTAAAGAAATTCACAGTGTTGCTCGCAGCAATTTGTGTCGGGAGGCTCTCCGACGCGTCTTCAGGAGCCGAGTTCGGTTCGTGAAAAAAAATAAACAAACGGTTCCCAGCACGTGGAGCGAAACATCAGACATTGTGCCGAACAATACGCGGTGCGACCTGAACAATGCCGTCGGCAGAGCTGTACAGCGCAACCGAGAAAATCTACGCAGTTGTCGTTTATGTGTCGGCAGTTGTTTATTTCTCTGTGCTGATTTGCAGTTGTGTTTTGCCTCCCCAACCTACTAACAAACTCCTGTTGTTGGTGACGCCCTTGAACCCGACAGTGCACTTTTCCCAACGCGGGTGCCCGGATCATGCTGTTCACGGGCGGGCCCCCAACACAAGGGCCTGGCATGGTCGTTGGCGAGGAGCTGAAGACGCCCATCCGTTCCTGGCACGATATTGAGAAGGACAATGTCAAACACATGAAGAAAGCAACCAAGGTTGGCATGCTGTCAGTTCACAAATTTGCTCGGGCTCGTTCCAATTTCCTCCACCTCCTCTTGGCGTTTCTTACACCCTAATTGACAAGGCTAGGTTTGTGCCAACCTTGGGTGGAGATGCTTTATTTGTTTTGTTTTTTTTCTCTCTGTTCGAGTGTCACGCAAGAAATTGGTCCTTTGCACAATGAGAACGATTTCTTTGGTGCGTGACACACTTTCTTGGTAGTTGACACTGTCCTTCTCAAGAGGGTTTGTATCCCTGGCTTGGTTTGAGGTTTGTGAGTGGCGCCTCGCATCGCTTTGCACCACTGGAGCGTTGGGATTCCGCATAAGACTGCATCGTTGTAGCGCTCGCGCGTTTTTTGCACAACGCTCTTGTTTGCCTTCCCATCCCATCCCCGACCTCTGTGCACGGTCAGCACTTTGAAGCTTTGGCAAACCGTGCCACGGTCAACGGCCATGCCATTGACATCTACGCCTGTGCGCTGGACCAGACCGGTCTGCTGGAGATGAAGTGCTGCCCCAACCTCACTGGGTACACCACCTGCACCACGCACACGTGTTCCCAGACGCTATCTCCCTCGCCTGGTGTGCAGGAGGTCGTGGGTTCGGTCCCGACCCTGACGCCTGCTGTATATTTGAAGTTTGCGTGTCTCTCTCCCCGTCGTGGTGGATGCACCGTCACCTTATGAGCTCTTCTGGTATTTATAAGCGCTCACTAAGAGCACTTGCCCCGGCAACCGATGCAGCCTACACGGGAGATCTTTGTACTTGAGTGTATTTGGTTTCGTCTAGCTTATGACCACAATGCATTGAATGCAGTGTGTCATTATCTAATCCACGCATAGCCTTATTATCTAAATCAAACCCAACACTCTCTTTTGGAATGCGACCTAATTTGTCCTGTTTAGTGGATCAGATCTTTGTGGCAAGGTGCATAAATACTGACATAATTCGGACTTGAACTCAGTATCTTCTCATCCAACCCTTTATACTGTAGAGGCGATAGCTGTTGGGCATCTACTTTTTACACGTTCAAGTAATTGTCATTAGATTGTTCTATTGGTTGATCATTCCTATCTGATGAAAGTTGTTTCTGATCCGATCGATGAAAGTGTAAAAGTGTCCTTTTTGTCCTTTTTTTTTCTAAGCGCGTAGGCAAATGCGACGACCAAATAAAAAATTGTCTCTGCGTGTGTCCCCTGGCTTGCGGATCGATGCAGTCGGTGTGACGTTGTCGAGTTTTGTTCTCCAGCGGCTACATGGTGATGGGCGATTCCTTCAACACGTCGCTCTTCAAGCAGACCTTCCAGCGAGTGTTTGGCAGGGACTTCCAAGGAAACCTGCGCATGGCTTTTGGAGCTGTCCTCGAAGTCAAGGTGAGCATAGCAGCTTGCAATGTGAAACCCCCACTTGTGTGTTGTTTGCCCGAGTATGCACTTAATAGTACAGGGTGGTCCAGATGTATTGTGACCCCCATTTTTATTCTCTAAAAACCTCATATTTTTGGAAGTAACGTTTATTTAAAACGTAAATGGATATGCAAAGGAAAATAAATAGGGCTCAATTAATTGGAGGTCACAAGGCATTTGGACCAACCTGTATCATAATTAATAACAATTTACATTTGTAAGGCACGTTTCATCCGTATATCCCAATGCGCCACCGTGTATGGAAAGCAGCGAATGAACAGAACCCGCAGGGTTAACGGCCAGAACTAGGGGATAGAGGCCTATTTAAAGAGGTGAGTTTTTGAACAATTCTGATTGTCCTATGAGCAATGGCAAAAGTATTCCAAAGCCTGGAAGCAGCACTGGCAAAAGCCCGATCACCCAAGGATATTCGGCTTGACCTCGGAGCCATTCGAAGAAGGCGATCGGAATATCTCGGCGACCTCGTTGGATCGTGAAAATGGATCGGTTCCCGTAAATATTGCGGGACTAACCCATTGAGTTCCTTGTAGGGTCTATCCAATATTGTTCCACATTTCCAGAAATATTGAGCGATGAAATCGGCGGTTCTGTGGGTGCGTGGTGGATTACTCCAGCACAGCATCGTGAGAGATGCCGATGGCTTGGGGAGGCATTCATTCAGCAGTGGATAGATCGTGGCTGATGGTGATGATGCGAGGTTTGGCAGTTTCATTGCGGCGTTTGTGAACGCAATCCACTTGTGAGTCAATTAAACCTCTTGCATAAATTAATCGCAAGTCGTTTGTTTGACATTTATTTTTATGCTCATGATAGCAGTAATAATAAGTGATGGTGCCTTGTTAATCCACTGCTGGATGGCAGCCTCTCCATTCTGTGTTGGTCATAGAGGTTTCTTTTTTACCATACTTCACCAGTGCGGATCGGGTGAAGGGATGCTCATGGTGCATGCGCCGATCGAATCGTGCGCTTGGGAGCTTAGAAATCCCTTCCAACAATGTGTTTTGCTGCTGACCATCACCTAGCACAGCCCCGCAGCAGCCTATGACAACCCGGAGTGCATGATGGCGACCCACCCAAGCACTGTCCGGGCTCAAGCCTGCTGAGATTCTAGAGATCTGACAATTTTGGTCAGAGGTGAATCTCCATTAGCTTTGCATAACCGATGTAATCTGACATTGGACGCCTTGATTCTGTTAGACCACGATAGATATATTTGGTACCTGTGCACGTACCGCTTCTGGGAGGGGGAGTGTCCATCGTGCCAAGTGTAAATAATCTTTCGTGCTCTTCATTTGTATGGTAATTTCAGACAACGCGAGAGCTTAAGGTGTCTGGAGCCATCGGTCCTTGCGTCTCGCTGAACACCAAGGGGCCCTGCGTGTCTGAGAACGTAAGTCGCCCACGTGACGATAAGCCGCCTTCCCCGTTGCAACCCGGCCGTTCTGGACGATAACCGTATAATTACACGTCGCTTTGATAAATCTGCATTAACTCGATGAATTACTCGCTGTTTATTTGACTTAATTAGGTTCATGTTTTCGCGACAATCGCAGCACGACACTTGTAATTAGCTCAGCTGGCCACAGCAGGGGTGTAATTGCATGGGGCGTTTATTGTTTGAAGGCACTGACAACAGAAAGTGCAATCAAGGGCTTTGTTGAAACAGCTTATTTCTTTCCACTGCTCTCAACACTTGAACGTTTTCAGAATACCACGTTAAAGGCGAGTGCGTTTTTCAGGTTAAATAAACATTTTTAAACGGGCGCGTGCGATTATGATTAAAGTCGCCCGCGCAGGCCGCTTAATGAAAGTGGCGATGCGCTTTGAGAATGCGCCGCGAGTGGTTGTTGCGGCTCTCGGACGTGTGAACGTTCCCGGGATGCGCTTCGCGGTGCTCGCCGCTGACCTCTGCGCGAACACCGATAGACGTGCGCCTCGGCGTTGAATTCTGCCGACAATCATGATCCTCGCCGCAGGAGATGGGCATCGGCGGTACGTGCCAGTGGAAGATCTGCTCGCTGGATTCCAGCACTACCCTGGCCATCTACTTTGACATTGTCAACCAGGTGAGGGCCACCTAAACGCACCTAAACGCACCTTGACACACTATTATATATATGTATGACGCAGTTGCTGAGCACAAGCCCAAAGGCCTGAAACGTCCGTTGGCCAGCAATAAACACAACACAATCAACGTTGTTATCGAAAGAGTTGGCACATTCCTCGGATTTGAGCAAGGTTTATTTATTATGAGAGATTTCTAAATAGAGACAATGGGACGGAATTTCAGAGTCGAGCAGCGCGAGGAATGAAGCAGAACGCAAAGTGTTGCGACCTGCAGTGTGGTTAGGTGGATGGATGGATGGCTGGGTGAGTTGGTGGGTGGGTGAGTGAGTGAGTGAATGTCGTTGTGACCTGCAGTACGGTATCGATGAGACAGAACGGTCAGTCTGGTTGAGCGAGTCCTCAAGATGAGTGGAGGAATCAATGATTGACATTCATGGGACCAGTAACCATGGTAGTAGTAGCAATGGAAGCGTTGAAAAGGATGGCACGTGACCATCGGCGAGAAAGTAAATGGAGTTAATCAGTAAGTGCTTGGACGGCTGCCACGGGAGTGGAGGGTATATGATGAGCAGTTGGGACGGGCTGAGTGTGCACCTTGTGCTGTGCTGCCACTTTGCATACCTGGCCTTGTGTCCTTGGACATGCGTAATGCCAGGCAGGTGTATCTATGTGAACCTGGCCTGAGCCACGCTTGGGTCATGGAGGCATCGGTTCATCAATTCAATTTATTGTCAAGGCTCACGATTCATGTGCCGAATTGTGTGTTAGAATCGGTGTGGTTTAAACAACAAAATCTATGTGCACTGATGTGAAAATGATGTGTTGTTATGATGCTCATGGGGCGATTTCAAATATACAAACGGGATGGAAAATAAGATAAATTTTACAAAGAAGATTGTAAAAACGAGACAATAATCATCAGAATTTCTTGCATTGAATCGGCGTCCAGATTTTATGACAATTCATCAAATCACTGGGGAAATGAATCGCTACATCTCCACATTATCTATATATAATCTACATATACATGTAAAGGTGCATTGAAGCGTGTGCATAAGAGCCGATTATGTTAGATTTATGTTAATTATATGTTAACGATACATTTAGGAAATTAGAACGATCGAGACTCAACGAGCCGTACAAATGAAACGGAGAAGCGAGAAATACACGTGACGTTAAACGGGATAACAACAATAATAATGTATTTCTCAATGAAAACAGTATTCCAAATTATGAGCCTTGGTCGAATCTGGGTTGGGTGAATCTTTAATAGTTATTAAATACAGCTGATATGCAGATTGTCCAACTTGACTTGCACAAACTTTGGTGAAAAGCGGGGGGAAAAGTCAGAACAGCATACACATGTGACGTAAAGAACGCAACACGGTCGGCTCGTGGGGACAACAAGTGATGACACTTTCAGAATGTACGTACGGTACATCGTGTCTGCATTGACCACATATAGACGTGGTGAACAAGCAAACGAAAACGTGCTCTGGTAGAAAATGCATTGTCTTTGGAACTGATTGGTTCACACTAGAGACAGCTTTCTTTAGAGCCTAGTCTCGAACGGTGTTAGACCAGAGAACGACAAAAAGCGAACAGCACAAAGCTTTCAATGTCTTGCCAGTGGCATTGTTTTTGTGCTGAACGCCTTTTGGCGTCTTCTGGTCTCATACTGTTTGAGACTAGGCTCTAAAGAAAGCTGTCTCTGGTGTGGATGACCAATCAGTTTAAAAATCAATGCATACAGTATCAGAGCACATGTTTTGTTTGCATGTTCACCACGGGTATATGTGGCTAATGCAGACATGATTCCTTGCAAAAATGTTTCAGTTTGGTGCTTTAACCTGTTTTATTGCCAGAAATTATAAAACTATTCTTATACGTACGGTACGTTGACATACGTGCGGGGGAAGGACAACAAACTAAACACACAGAGCAGTTTTAAATAAATTAGTTTTCAACTTAGATTGCCTTCAAACGAAAGTAAACCGTCACCACCTTCTTACTTTCAGCTCCCTGTTTAAGATTTTTGTTATTTAAATAGATTGATTTCACTCCACCGTGGTGGGTAGAGAGTGCTGCCCCGCGGATGGCTGGGGGCTCGGCTCGCCGTGTCCTCCTTTGTCCCGCTCCGCCCGCTCGCCGCTCGAGTCCCGTGCACAGCACGGCCATCGCTTCCAGCGCTGTGTCATCGCCTTGCGAAATTTTCTGTTCGGGGGTCCATCGGCAATGCCAAGCGCCAAGATTAACGTCTGCCGCTTAGCCCGCGCAAGCCGTTGGGGGGGGGGGCTCGCAGCACACCACCCCCACCGCCTTTGTTTCCCCGGAGTGCCGATGTTCACACACCGCACCGGGTACTCATTTAAGGCTGAGTTGACCCAGGGGAGGCACGGCACCGGTTCGAATATTCGTCACTGATGTCAGCCATGAAGTGGGATTTTCGAACGTGGGTTCATGGGTTCAAGGCACAGTGTGCTAATTGTAAGATTCCAAAACACGCACAACACGTAGATAATATGTGTTCGTTTCCTTAATGGGCAGTGCAGCATACGCCACTTAATGTCATTGCTCGCTAGTTTCATGGCAAACGATATTGAAGTTTGAAAGCGTTGGTAATAGGCGCCTCTGACCAAATCAACTGCAATGTGCTCGATCTCGTCATAGCTCAGAAGCTCAGCAGCTCTAAGCCTGGATCGCTAGTGCGCCGATGGCCACGCACAAGTAGGTTGTCGTGGGGCTTGCGGGGGCTACGTTGCGGGCAGCAGAGGGCAGTGCAGCAGCATTCATTGCTGCACTCCGCTTCCAGTGGTGTTAGACCAGAGTACGCTCCTAGCATTCACCAACCCGCACTAACCACAGCCCACTCAAGTGTTGGTGCAAGTGCCCCATCTGCAGTGGGCTCACAAAAGGGGTTGAGCCACGTACCCATTTACATTAGCTGGTGTTCGTTCGGTCCCTGTGGTAGCAACAATCCACAGTGATGATGCAACAGGTGATAATGTGCATGCAAGTAGATGCACCTCTGTGAGAGGGAGTTGGCCCAGGGGTTGAGGGCGGAGGGCAGGCTGAGCATCCAGGAGGCGATGGCTTGAGCCGTCCAGGGAGCGGGTTTGCCCGTGAAGGAAATGTAGAAGCTGATGGTCATATGGGGCAGCCAGCAGGTCAGCAGCGTGGCTGCAATAACACGAGAGAGACGAAGAGACGTTGGATTTTAATTTGGTCAGCCGGGTGGCTCGGAGGTGTGAACGCTGAGCTGCCGCTGCGGAGGCCCTGAGTTTGAATCCAGGCGGCCGCATGGGATTAAAACTGGATTCTCAATCGTCGTGTGTTGGATGGTCTCTCAGCTCGGTCACCAATGACTACAGGAAATAATTATCCAATTTAAATGTTGTTATGCCCTTGATTAGGCCGTGAGCGTTATGATTATCAGTTTGACTCTCCAGCGACAAACATTACTCTTGGTGGCAGGGTGGTCGACAAAGTGCTGCTGCCCACTACTGTGTGGACAAGTGCTCACTCAGAGGTCGTTCTGCGACATCCGCTTCTGGATTGCAAGCCCAGTTCGCCGCTTAAATAATCTCAAAACGCGGCCCTTAGTAGATGCGCAGTTTCCTGCGAGCGGCCGCGGCTCTTACCCACGGCGGTGATGAGCATGACGGTGCACTTGAGGTAGCGGTTGGCCGGCACGTAGCGGCAGTTCTCCTCGTCGCACACGAAGGTGCCGCGCTTGGCCTGCTTGCACGCCGCGTGCACCACGTACGCATACATGCCGCACAGCACCGCGATGGGGGCCGCCACCCCGCCCCCCAGTGCCAGCGAGCAGTACGCGCCGGAGCCCTCCTGCCGCACAAACGGGAGACCACCACCTTCGCCGTTTGACCGTCGCACTCCCGAATACGGCGAGTCGCTCGCTCAATGCGTGGTGTTGGCGCAACGCGTTCTCGCTGTCGCGCATTTCTTCCACCATTCTAATGAGGTGTCTGAGCTGTCTACGGCAAACTACTTTCTTGAGCTGCGTGGCTGATACAGTAGCGTGGTGGTGTACCCCAAGTTATTTGCCCCGCGCCATCTCACTGCGTGCGTACATCGTACTTTGCAAAACTTTATCGATACTCGGCACTTTTCGGGAAACGTATCTATTGCATTAAACGAGGACTTGGTGTACGGACAAAATCTGATGTCTGCTCGCCCTACTGGGAAACTGGTCCACCACCTTCCAAGCAGGTCGCAGACAGAGGTCACGTGGATGTCCAAGGCTGTGTGCTGCTTGGACCAAGCATTGTTCATCATACACACTTTTTAACAAACTCTGTTTTCCTTGGCTGGACAGAACTCTGACACTATTCCCTAGGTTAGCCAAACATCCTGATCCTATGAGCCGCAAAAGCAAGATCTTCATATGGCTGCGAGCCACAAGATGCTGAGCAGAGTGGTGACGTGGGATGGTCATGCGGCCTGTTGGCTCGCACCGCTTGCCTGTGAGAGTTTTGAATTTGGAAATTTGCGGGAGCAACCCCTTCGGGGGGGAGTGCTAATGGTCAAGTGCCCTGGGCCGCTCCTGCTTCCACAGATTTCTTTTAAATTAAATACTATTGAAAGGTTCAGAATTGTTCACGTCGAGACGCACTCGGGCTGCCCGGTAGTCACATTCAGCTCGCGAGCCGCTGTTCTGGTCACCGCTGCTCCATTCCGTTGCCGTAGCAAGTTGCCGTAACAAGTTGCCGTAACTGCTCACAATGAATTCGTTGGCAGCTCCTGTCGCCGGCAATGATTGCCTTGAAAGATTGCCCGAGTCGACCGGGACAAAGCGTTGCATGCAGTCGTCTATGAAATGCCCCAACATCTCAAATTTGACTTCTGGATACAATGGGGCAAGAGCCGACTGCGGTGGTTTGGTAACACATGCAGGAAGGAAGTCTTAAGGAAGATATTGTGAGGGAGGTGTGGGAGAGGAAGGGCAATGGGAGGAGGAGGCACTGCAGGCGGCCAGTCAAGAGGTGGATGGATTGCGTGAGTGAGGGCCTAAGAGACCTGAGGACAATGCAATCTGGATTTATAGTGTCTAAATTCATCCCTGTTTCAAGATGCTGCATAGAAGAGTGGGACATTGGTATCCTGTGGAAATGGAGCTTGTTTATTTATTTTATGGAGGGAAAGAGGCGGTCAGTCGCAGGCAGAGAAAACTAGGGGAAGGTCTTGAGCCTGGACCGGGTTGTCCACAGGACGGCTCGCCAACGACATTCGATTCGTAGATTTTTTTTCCTTTAAACCACTTCTCAGTCTTGCGATGCGCTCAAGGCAGATTCTTTAGAGCAGTGGTTCTCAACTCTTTTTGGCCGCTGTTACCCCTTATTGAATTTTGTTTCAACCAAGGACTCCCTTGCCTGACCTAAACATGGTTCTGTAAATAAATGTGTGAATGATGAACATCAATATTTTAACCAATTGTCCATTTCTTGAGTAACTGCAAGCAAATGAAAAATATATTCAACGGACGCTTTCCATGCATGGCGTACTTTGTTTGCGCTCGCTGGTTGCTCTTGAAATCGTTCGAGGTTCCCATTTGGATTCAAATTGCATCGTAGTTATTTTACATCGGCAGATTCATACGCGATTATTCACCAAATGACTCTCGCGTACGATATAATTTCAAATATTTATATTTCACCTCTTGCACCACCGTCCTGGGACATTGACACGTGAACCCCCAGGGGGTCCGCGTACTCCCCCGTCCCCCCCGGGTAGAGAACCCACTGCCCTAGAGAACGAAACGGCAGGGCCTGCGCCTTTCTCCCCCTTACCTCGAAGAGCGGGGTGCACATCCCCGCGTTGGCGTTGTAGCCGTAGCGGCCGAGTCCCGCGAAGGGAAGGCCCGCGATGAGTGCCGCGTACGTCCACACGGCGGCCAGCGCCAAGCCCGAGCGCGCCGGCGTCAGCACCTTGGGTCGTCGTCGTTGTCGTCGAGCTTCCGTTAGACGCAGAACGAGAACCGCAAACCGCGCGCCCCGTGGCAACGGGATTTAGGCGCTCTACGGGATTTTAAATCTCGTAGGGTGCCACGGGGGTAACATGTTAACTACCTCACCTGGTTCTGATGACGATGATGACGATAAGGATTACGTGCAGTCATTGCATCCCTTTCACTACGCCATCCCCAATCATGATGACACGGATTGCATCGCCATGCCGTGGTGGCGAGATATTAATGGGCTACCTTGCCTGGTATACAGGAGGTGGTGGTTTCGATCTCGACCGTGACGCCTGTATATTTGGAGTTTGCACGTTGTCCCCGAGGTTGCGTTGATTTTTCTCTCTACATCTAGAAACATGTGTTTCGAGTATTTGGCTGCTTTAATTTTCCACGTGATAAGCCACTTCGTTGAGCTATCATTTGTGGCCAGGTCGCTTCTGAAAAACAGCTACATATATATACACACACACGAATATATCTTGTATAATAAAAAAAAATGCAGTTTATAGTTTAAATCCAGGGCTACGCGGAGGCACAGCCGAGGGACGGTACAGACATGTTTACAGCAACTGATCCATCTTTATACGCCAACGAGCTCACTGAGATGTTTGGATCGCCTTCTTTATATAACTACTCCGAGGTCAAGGCTCTGTTCCTTGGGTGATCGGGCTTTTGCCAGTGCGGCTCCCAATCTTTGAAACTCCGTCCCTTTGCTAATAAGACATTGAGCGTCGTTAGAGATATTTAAGTCCGTCTTGAAAACTCACCTCTTTAAACTGGCCTTCAAACCTAGTGCTGGTCGCTTACCCTGCAGGTTCTGTTTATTTCCTGCTCTTCATACACGATGGAGCATTGGGAATCCACGGATGTGTAATGGGCCTTAAAGATGTAAATTATTATTATGAATTTACATTGCCGTACCATGCTTCGATGTTCTCATGTCGAAAGAAGTTCAACATACATATGTGTCACTGATCTCTGCCCTCAACAATCTGCACTGACCAGCATCATTACATAGCCCCCATGCCCCCCCCCCTCATCCAGCAGTGGATTTATAAAAGGGCTCGGACTTGTGCAATGGCTCCGCGGGCCGCAGTTTTGTTGGGCGTTTTAAGGTGACGGGCGGAAGTGTGCAACGATACGTAAATAAATAAACTAACCAATTTATATTTTACCTGGTAAAGCCCACTGAGCTATTAGTTCTGTTTTCAGAAGCGACACCTGGCCACAAATGATTGCTCAACGAAGTTTATTATCACGTGGAAATTTATAGTAACCAAATAATCTAAACCCACATTTCTATCGGGCAAGGTATGATCCGCTACTTCATTTTCATCCGGTCCTTGGCCACATCAAGTTCAAGTTCATTTATTAGGTATAGCCCTGTGAGCCATTCGGCTCTTGAATCGAGTGCAACCGCAACAAACAAAAAACAAAAACATGAACAAAAAACATCTTAAGTGAATGTGACTGAGTGCAAACAGAAAATCCAATAAAAGACAGTAAAATATTGCAGAAAAATATTACACATGAGGCCCACCACTTCGAAACGGCCCACAAACGGTATTTACCCGTCACTGACAGCGTGGTAGGCGGCCGTCTCTTTCCCACCTGTGACCCCCGACACCCAGCGTGTTATCTCGTGAAAAGCAGCCGCCGGTATTGCATTCGGTGAGCTTGAATTTATTATTTGCGTTTATTATTCGATATCACGACGACGTGTGTTGATGCAAGCCCCCCCCCCCCTTCAAAGATGTGTGAAAGTCCGATTCGATGCTCGGTTCCGAACCGATTCCACACCCCCCCAACGCTAGACTATTGCCAGGCAACCCTGTAGCGTGACCTCGATTAAACAGAGGTCAACAGCTAAACAGAATGAGCAACGACACGTTATGCCCTTGTCGATGGTGCCTTCTGCTTCAGGTCAATCGCCCCCCCTACGTACGTGAGCAACGGCTGTGCCAACAATTCTTTTGACCTGGCTTCAGGAATTTAGAAGGAGGTCTGAGGATGGGGATCGTCAGGGGGGGGGATTAGTGTGGATTTCCCAAGGAGCTGCGGTTGGGGGTTTGGGAGGTTGCGGGGCCCCACCTGCGTGTGCGTGAGGGAGAGGCGGATCTCGAGAAAGCGGCCGATGCTCAGCCAGGTGATGGAGTGCACGGCCATCACCTGCAGCTGCACGAGGACAAAGGTCGCCGCACGGCACGCCTCGTCCCCCAGCAGCCCGGCTTGCCGCGGCCGTAGCGACGAGGGTGCGGGAAGAGCGGCGGCGAGGCAGGGTGGTAGGGAAGGGAGCCGTCAATGATCAGACACTCATTGCATTTCGTTATTTTACAATCGCAGTTACCGTGCACACAGAGGGACCGAGGACTAAAGTGGCATGCGGCCAGCGTGTGTAATCGATGGGAGTTAAAACTAAAACAACTATTGAACTTTCTTGACTTACCAGGTAACGCCCACCGAGCTAGACAGCTCTCTTTCAGAAGTGACCTGGCCACAAATGATAGCTCAACGTAACGGCTTATGTGGAAATATATAGCATCCAAATACTGTAAACGCATGTCCGTAAATGTGGAGGAAAAATTGGATAACCCGGAGAAAAATCCACGTGACCACAGGGAGAGAGATGTGCAACGTCCAATGTACAGTAGCAGGCGTCGGGGTCGGGATGGAACCCACGACCTCCTGTGTACCAAGCGAGGTAGTTAACATCTCCTAGCCACCATGATGATGATGAGAGAGAGAGACACCGCAAACTCCAAATATACAGCAGCAGGCGTCAGGGTCGGGATCGAACCTACAACCTCCTGTATATCAGGCGAGGTAGTTAACTCTTGTCAGGGTGGCTAGATGTTAACTCGTGTCTTGAATTGAGCAAGGTTAACGATGGAAGCACGAGGAAAGATGCGACTCGCGTGAGTGAGAGGAAACGACCGCCGTACTTGGTGCCGTCGCTTGATGCGCTGTGCGCGTTTTGGGGGAACGTCTCATTGACCATCCCCCCCCTCCTTCAAAAGCGCCCCGCCCAGCATTTGTTATTAAACTGGAAATATACGGTGGTGCAGAGAATCCCTCGGTGAGGAAGTTATTGCAGGCCATATACAATGTGCATTCAAAAATCTTGCACAGACAGCATTCCTTTGCGGTTGTGAATTTTAAATGTAGAATGAAAACGAATTTTTTTTTGCGTTTAGAATGTTTTCCCTCGCCCCCCGCACCTCCAATTAGCACGGTTGGCTACGTACGGTGCGAAAGAAGTTCAACGTACATACATACAAACGTGTACACACACGCGCGCACGCACACCGCTGTAATTTTCACATTGTCGTAACGCAAGGTACAATTATTTTGTTCCTTAACGCACGAACAGACATGCGTACTTACAATGAATGATTATAGGCTGAACTGTGCTTGAGACTGCAAAGTGAAAAATTCACCACAGTGCCAAAAATGTATTATGATCATTTAATCACTTGAATGGCAGCATCACGATTCGTGATAATTCATGGAGCCCTGAGAGTAAGTCGTGACACACGTTTACTTATTGGCAACAAATGCACACTTTGTAATTTTTGCCTTTCCAGGAAAAGGCAGCGGTGACGGTGACGTGGTTAAAATGACTGGCGCATCCTTTTCACCACTCATAGCTATTGTGTATCATTCAATAAACGCGTCACGATTTTATCCTGCCAGCAAATTCGTGAATACATATTGTAGCCCATTGTAACTTAACGTACTCATTCAAGCTGATGACCAAATTGCGTGCAGTGCACCTGATTTTGTCACGTACTGGATGCCAAGCAGAATTAAGTCCGGATAGTGCTTGGGTGGGCTTCCACCATACAAAAAACAGGTTGCTAGAGGCTACAGGGCTACATGTTGGACAGCAGAGGTCAGTGAAACACAATCCATTGTTGTACTCTATGTCTATGTTTCTTCTTCTTGGCTCCACGTTTTCACCCACCCAACTCTGAGCCAACTTGGTGAAGTGTTTTAAATAATCCTCTCAACATGTACGGCGTTGACAGAAAGAGAGATAGACCAATCATCCAGCAGTAGATAGACAAAAGGGTTGTCGGTGTACATTTTGTTAATACCCCTGTTGAAGTTCTTTCGCACGGAGGTGCGGGGGAAGGACAACAAACTAAACACAACAAGCAGTTTTTAAGAAATTAGTTTTCAATCGAGTTGATTTAAAGGTGCGTAGCGTAGCTCCAGCGGCTTCCTACTATCGGAAGGAAGAGCTTTCCAGATGGCCGCAGAAGCGCATCTCAAAGCACTGCGCGATGCAGTGACCGTGTTTGTTCGATGGCGAGCCAAAAGCCGCCTGCTGCGACGATGACCGGAGTCTTATAGACGACGGTAACACCGGGCAGGTGGGGGTGGGGTGCGTTGGGAAATGAGAGCCAAGTAACCGACACCCCCCCTACCTTGGTGCGCGGAGGCCAGCGGCAGGCCGATGAGCCCCACCAGACCGAGGGCCAGGTCGCACGCGGCCAGGTGGAGCATGAAGGCGTTGGTGTGTGCTCGCAGGTGCCTGTACTCGGCGAGCAACAGCAGGTAGAGGAAGTTTGAAGCCACCACGAAGAGGCACGTGCATACGGCCAGCGCCGTGAACACCTGCTTGTGCACCAGCTCCATTCCCGGCAGATTGCGCCCCCCACCCCCCCCGCTTCTCCGAGTACCACCCTGGGCGGTCAGGTGCCGTGCCCGTCGAGTTGTCGTTTTTGAGATAAAAGTGCGGAAGCTGTGACGCAGGTTGTTATCGCTTCAAAATTAGTTTTTCGTTTGTGTGGTCGACCCGCCTGCCGGGTGGTCTTGTGCGGTGAGTTTTTAGTCGATGTGATCGCGAGTTTAAATGTCCCGCCCGTGATAGTAAATGATAGGGCTAGCTTCTCTACATTATTTCTGTAAGGTGGTCTCTCCCTTAAAATTTTGCACCGAGTGTGTGTTTAGCATTTGCCAGAGTCATTCATTTTGTCTTGCCACGCTTTAGACGTACATGTCTTTATATATTTACGTGTGTGTGCCTTTCTAAAATATACTACAGGATCCGATAGTAGTTTTCAAGTTCTATGCGGTTAGCGTGCGCAAAGCAATGGGAAGGGGAGCGTTCCTCAGGTCAGGCGCGTCCGCGTGTCGCGCTCGTGTCGGGCGCGGCGGTGATAGCCGTCGTACCTCTTTAGCCGTGGCTCCACCTTCGCGTTGGTCCCCTTACGCTGCGCTGATTGTTTGTAATTGAATTTTCCTGCAGGTGGGAGCTAAATATAATCTGGGCGCTCGGGATTGACGGAGCAGCGGGATCGTATTTGAATGGGGAAAAATATTTTGCTTTGTGGTTTGCTAATTTGTAACGCAATCGTGAAGCGTTCTCGGGCTCTGTTACATGAGTTTATATTTTGTAGGTTGTGTGGTCTATATATGTATTTGTGTGACAACGAGAATTTACAGCCTTTTGAAGAGCACCACTGCGTCTCGGTCGTGGGGGTTGTTTGACCTTTGACCATATTTGACCATGCTGACCAGTGCATGTTGATGGAGGGGGGTGCCCAGGTTGGGGCAGGGGTGGGGGGGAGGAGGGGCTGGTGGAGGAGGTAAGGAGGTGGGATGCAGAAACAGTTCAGATAGCACTCGCCACTGATGTTAGCCGTGGTTGGGAATCGACGTCAGGTTGCCAGATTCTTATGAATAACCCTGTGCCACCACTCTAACCATGCACATGCATTTATGTATGTTGAACGTCTTTTGCATCATACGTAGCCAACCGTGTTAATCGTATGTGTCGTATGTGTATATATATATTTGTGTGTGTGTGTGCCCTCTATATATGTAATTTTCTGACTCACCCCGACTGGACATCTGTGAAAAATAGCGTAATAGCTCATCGGATTCCTCCAGTAATAAATAAAGATTCTGATTCGAAGGTATAGGTGAGCAGTGACACATTGGTTTGCACATTGCACTATAACCATCGTGATTTTTGGCCACAGATAATAGCAGTGACAAGAGGTCAACTCGGAGCTTAAATTAGTTGCCTCTTTTGATGTTTCGAACATCGGCGCTGGGGAGACACGACCAGCCAGGCATGAGGATAAAAACTCCACCTCTTCATGTGCTGTGCCCGCCTAAATTTGTGCTCGCGAACAGCACTCCCCGCAACAGCCTGTGAGACTATAAAAGTGGGTCCGTTGTCCTTGCGCATTAACATTTATTGGCAATATAATATCAATGAACTGTGCCGAATTTTTTTTCAGACAGCTGCCGGCCGAGTCGCCCTTGAAATCGCCCTTCTTTTTAGTTCATTGGGCTTTACTCGGGGGAGATGAAACTTCCGATTCTGAATCTCCCGCACGCCGCGCGCGCGACACCGCCTGACGATAGGCTTGACCGCCGCCCCCCCCCCTCCCCCACTTGTTCCGCAGCACAACGCTCCGATCCCGCAGGGCGGGCGCGGCGCCGTGCAGTTCGTGACGCAGTACCAGCACTCGAGCGGCCAGCGCCGCATCCGCGTCACCACCATCGCCAGGAAGTACGGCCCCCTGCCCACCACATACCTAGCATGCTCTCGCACGTTTCACGCACACACAACACAACAACCACAACAACCGCCGTTCGCCACTCAGTGGCGGTGACATGACCATGGCGCTTGTCAACACGAGACACGGTGGTCCTTAAATAACTGTCACTAAACGGTCCTTCATGAGCTGCATGCGGCTCCGGAGCTGCAGATTGCCGACCCCTGTCCATGGTGAACTGGACTACCATGGTGAACTGGACGACTTCCATCCTGAACTGGACTTTCATGGTGAACTGGACTTTCATGGTGAACTGGACTTTCATCGTGAACTGGACTTTCATCGTGAACTGGACTGCTATGGTGAACTGGATGACTTACATCCTGAACTGGACTTTCATGGTGAACTGGACTTCCATGGTAAACTGGACGACTTCCATGGTGAACTGGACTTCCATGGTGAACTGGATTTCCATGGTGAACTGGATTTCTATGGTGAACTGGACTTCCATGGTGAATTGGGCTTCCATCGTGAACTGGATGACTACCATGGTGAACTGTACTTCCATTGTGAACTGTACTTCCATCGTGAACTGGACTACCATCGTGAATTGAGCTTCCATGGTGAACTGGATTTCCATGGTGAACTGGATTTCTATGGTGAACTGGACTTCCATGGTGAACTGGACTTCCATGGTGAATTGGGCTTCCATCGTGAACTGGATGACTACCATGGTGAACTGTACTTCCATTGTGAACTGTACTTCCATCGTGAACTGGACTACCATCGTGAATTGAGTTTCCATGGTGAACTGGACTTTCATGGCCAGGGGTCGGCAACCCAAAATAACAAGAAGAGACATTTTTTTCAAATTTCAAGAGCAGCACGGCAGTCCGTAAAGAGCCGCAAGTTGCCTACCTCTGCACTAGGTGCACTGCGCACGCTACACACAAACACACAAAGACAAAGATCCCCCATATAGCCTTAACATACTGTAGGGGCAAGTGCTGTTAGCGAGCACCTATGAAGGCCAGCACAGCACACGAGGGGGTGGGTGGCCAGCACCACGCCCGACCACCTTTGTCTCCCTAGTGGCAATGTTTACACACCGCACCAGGTACTCATTTGAGGCTGAGTCGACCTAGGGGAGGCCCGGGACGGTTCAGATAATCGTTGGCTGTGAGCGGGAATCGAACCCGTGTCGCCAGGTTCATAGCGCAGTGCGCTAACCGCTATACTACCGCTCCCCACACACACGCACACATACATGCGCACACACTCACACACACGCGCACGCGGTAACCGGCGATCGCCCCGTCACGGCAGGATGGGCGATGCCACATACAAAAGCGTTGTTTACCAGCGGATTACTTGAACACCACAACTGCCTGATGATGCTGGTTGTCACTCTCAGCCGATCGCTCTCCAACACAACGGTGGTGGCTGCTGAAGCAGTGGTAAATTGGCACGTTTGTTCATCTCTTGACAACTTTATTCATTGGCTGTGGTCGGGTGGAGCGGGGGTGCATAACACACATTTTACTTACGCAGTGATCTGACCCAAAAATCTATTATGAATCAAATTACTTTGCTTTATTGCAGAAGAGAGGACGTGACATTTCTTTGCAGAGCTATGACTTTTACCTCTAATTTTATAATTTAGTTGTTAAATGTCATAAGCATATTGAAAAAAGGTAAAGGTGCAGCCCTGCAACAGTTAACTCACGCCACTGCTTGCAAAAGGGCCTCCGCTAGAGGTCGCTTAAGAGAGCCTCTCTAGAGGCTATTTTGCCTACTCTTCCACGCCGGTCACACATTGTGGAAGAGTGGGGAGTGCCCACACTTTACCCCACCACACGCGACTTGCCCATTGACTGTGGTGTATCCACAGATGCATGGATAATGATTATATGGATGGATGGATGTATCAATGGATAAATGGATCGATGTATGGATATATGGATGGATGGATAGATGTCTGTATGGATAAATAAATGGATAGATGGATGATAAATGGATGGATGTCTAAATGGATGGATGCCCTCCGAACCCCCTGTGCGCGGCAGCTGGGCGGACACGCAGACGCAGCTGCAGCACATCTCGGCGTCGTTCGACCAGGAGGCAGCAGCCGTGGTGATGGCGCGTCTGGGCGTGCACCGCGCCCACTCCGAGGAGGGCCCCGACGTGCTACGCTGGCTCGACCGCCAGCTCATCCGCCTGGTACCCAGCGGTAGCCCGAACGTGCGGGAGAGCGTGCGAGTGAGCGTGAGAGGGCGGGCGTGCGAGCGTGGAGTGGTCGTCTCGCCGACGACGATTTTAAACTTGAGCTGAGAGCCACGGATTTGCAGTTCGTTTTTTTTGGTCCGAAGGGTTTGCCTCGTGAAGACCCTCCTCCGCCACCCGACGCGGCCGAAGATATTTAAATTGTTATGCGGCCCAACGACGCGAAATTCAAATTGTTTCAGCTCAGCGGTGATCTGAAGGGCAACTGGCGCAGCGAAAGTAATTTGCATCCCGGTTGCTACATTTGGTGGTAAAAATTGTTCGTCAACTAAAACCCAGTAGTGCGTGGATTAGATGCCAAATGAAGGGAGCTCAGAAGTAGGTCTGTGATAATCCGCTTCTGTTGACCGTTCCCTAACACGGGGTGATGCGCTGCTGTACGCGAGTTCTGATTTAATCCGACGTCTTGTGGCGTGGTTTCAAAAGCAGTTATCGATGGAGTTTGGTAACAAAAAACAGAGGACATTTGGTTCATCATCTGATTAAATTCAATTAGTGTTCTCATGATACATGCATGCATGAGTTATTCACGATTCGTGATAATTATTTGTTTATGGTGTGCTTGTGAAGAGCAAATCCTTGAACGTTGCGCGGCGGTCGGCAGTCGACGTACGATGGGGGGACGGTTGCGAATGTGCCTTCTGTCCGTTGCTTCCGCAGTGTCAGAAGTTTGGGGAGTACAGCAAGGACGACACGAGCTCCTTCAGACTCTCGGAATCCTTCTCCCTCTTCCCGCAGGTATCTCAACTCCTCGGTCGGAGCCTTGTAACTCTGGCGTGTGAAAATGTCTTCGTGTCACTTCGGCGCGGTGTCTTGAAACAAAATTTTAAATCCTTTATATTAAGTTCACTTGCTTGCTTGCGCGCTTACGACCGTGCAAATCTTTCGGTCGTTTTTTTACCCACTTCCCGTGATCCAATCGAGCTGACATTTTGCACACAGACTCGTTGTGCGTGACAATTCATTTTCGGGAATTTTTTTTCTCCAAAATTTTACACTTTTTAGGAAAAAAAAATTATATGTAATTACCAGAGGTGTGGACTCGAGTCATGTGACTTGGACTCGAGTCAGACTCGAGTCATGAATTTGATGACTTCAGACTCGACTCGGCAAAATGTACAAAGACTTGCAACTCGACTTGGACTTGCATAACAATGACTTTGTCCCACCTCTGAGGTGTGGACTCGAGTCATGTGACTTGGACTCGAGTCAGACTCGAGTCATGAATTTGATGACTTCAGACTCGACTCGGCAAAATGTACAAAGACTTGCAACTCGACTTGGACTTGCATAACAATGACTTTGTCCCACCTCTGGTAATTACCAATTGCTTAATGGTGTCAAGCAATCATCTGACCCATAGGTGGCAGCCATCTCAAGCCAGAGGACGAGAGGACCACGCATATAAAGGATTTATAGTGAAAAACTTTGCTTTTACGGGTTAATTTTTTCTAAAGTGAAAAGGCCGCACCGTTGTCGCCAACTGGAAAGAGCACGCTCCCCCAGCACTGCTGGAATGGGCCAATAAATTGTCAAAAAATGTGCCGCCCAAGAGCATCTTAAAGTGCAAAACTAAGAGGGAGGGAGGAAGCTTGCCACCAAACATGCAACGCCTTCACTACCTCTCCTTCAGTGGGCATTGATTCTTAAGAGCATTCATTAGGGCATTTAGGCACCGGCCCCTTCCCCCCCCTTCCCTTTTTTCTTCTTCTCCTACAGGGCTTACAGAGATTAGGAAGACACCACACCAGGGGGTTGTAGAGTGTATTGACACAGTTTATTGAAATATGCGGTTTTAGACAGGTTCCTAATGCAATTATAATCCGTAATGTGTTTGTGCCGGTGTCAACCCCCTTTCATGCCCTGTGTGTTGTGTACTTGAATTGTTTTGTTAATAAAATACTTTTGGAGATTAACAAAAAAGCTTAACAGCCACCTTAGAAATGGTGTCTGCACGTTTCACATTCCCAGTGTGTATGATAGTAAATCATATCAATGTTGTTTACCCAGGGAATTAGCATGGAGTCTCAAGACTGCTTTTCAGGAGGGTTCCTGCATTGGGATTTTTTGGCCAATGTCTTCAATGAGTCTTGAACTTAAAGCTTTTTTATTTTTTTTGTTATTTTTTTGTTCTTTTCTTTGAACCTATCTACGTGACTTTACCGAAAGACCCAAAAATATCTTCAATGAGTGTTTGGCAATGCGGGACGAAACGGCAGAACCCAGAGAAAACCCACCACTCAATCAAGGGGGTGACACTCAGATCTGCCACCGCACAGCCCCGCCCCACCTACAACACCTGGCAAGCCCTTGTAGTTGCCCATCCAGGCGTCAACAGCCAGTAGACCGCGATGACCTCTCGAGCGTTCCGAGTGTGCGGTGTCTCATCGCCGTCCGCGTTCGTCTCTCCCATGCAGTTCATTTTCCACCTGCGGAGGTCGCCGTTCCTGCAGGTGTTTAACAACAGCCCCGACGAGTCGTCCTACTACCGGCACCACTTCGTGCGCCAGGACCTGACGCAGTCGCTCATCATGATCCAGCCCATCTTGTACGCCTACTCCTTCAGCGGACCCCCCGAGGTGCACACGCACACACACACGCATGCGTCATCTGCGGTGTGTTGTTTTGCGGGGCGTCGTTTGCAGCGCGTCGTCTGCAGCGTGTTGTTTGTAGGGCGTCAGTTGCAGCGAGTCGTTGGCATGGCGTTGTCTGCAGGGCGTCCTGCATGGCTTCGTCTGCATGGTGTCGTTTGCATGGTGTCATTTGCGTGGTGTCATCTGTATGGCGTTGTTTGCAGGGCGTCGTCTGCATGGCATCGTTTGCAGGGCGTCGTCTGTAGGGCATCGTCTGCAGGGCGTCGTTTGCAGGGCGTCGTCTGCAGGGCATCGTTTGCAGCGTGTCAGTCACATGGCGTCGTTTGTAGGGCGTCGTCTGCATCCTGTTAGGCACGTGGGTGATTTTCCCCGCAGTGCGAGCTGATGAGTTAGCCGGATATGGGGTCACCACGATTGTGACACTCTTTTTGAAAATCTTTTCAGTTTTTGTCTGATTTTCAAGTTTATTTGTTTAACCGGGTGAGAACGCAAGAGAGAGTAGGATTGCCGCGCTTGTTTCTACCATCTGGGCCTGCACTCTCCGTCTCTTATGTACCATCGGACTCGTTTTGTTGGGTCGTCTGCGTGCAATTTGTCTCATTTGTACCGCTTGCCCCGATTGCTCTGTCCTTTTCATCTGTGTGGTCTAGCGTGGGGAAGTATTCATCCAGCAGTGGATTGATCATGTTGTCTTCCACCCCACACAGCCCGTTCTGTTGGACAGCAACAGCATTCTGCCAGACCGCATCCTCCTGATGGACACGTTCTTCCAGATTCTCATCTACCACGGGGAGGTGCGTATGCTTGCACACGAGCAACCCCGAATACCACGCACGCACCGCTGCCTCGCCGCACTCATCGATGCAAGTGTGAATCTATTAACGCTCGGTAATTGACTGAAACAGTCCGATTGTATTGAGGATTGCAGATCTTGGGCAATTGTTGGTAGTGCCGGCCCACTGCCTGGCTGCCTTCTCCATGGCTCCTCAGCGATTATAAGATGCAATCTGCATGAACGACGCGAAATTAAATAAACGATATTATTTTTGGCGTGGTATGTATATACGTGTAGGGTAGCAGTGGTACAAATCCACTCAACGTACTTTGATTCCCCGTCTCGGTTGACATCTTGACGCGTGTTTATCACAACGGGTTCTGGGCCTCCCGTAGGTTAACTCGGCCTTAAACGGGCACATGGTGTGGGCATGTACACATCAGGACTTGGAGATGAGACAAAACTGACAGGGCATGGTGTGGAGCAAAACCACCCTTCCCTATTCCCCATTAACCTTAATAGGTGCTCGCTAACTGCGCATGTCCCAACACTATAGATGGGTAAATGTGGGATAAATGTGGATAGACCAAGCCAATAAGAATATGCAGTGGCGTCGTTGTTAAAATATCATACCAGGTTCTTTATACTATAAGGTGACAAAATGCACAATTCACTTGCACATATGTTTGCATATGATAGAATAAAAAATGCACAGTCCATGTGTACATAATTTTTTTAATGCCATTCTTCTTCAAGCTATCGGTGACCTTGCGATATCGTCTCTACCAGACTAAGTTCACTTTAAGTTAACGCTATTGCTTTGCAATTCCTTTACACTCGTACGTAGCCAAATTAAACATTTACACACACGGACACAATGGATGTATTTTTGGATCCTGTTATTTTAAAGTTACATCTTTCCGATCATGTTATATATATAAATATATACGTGTTTGTCTGTGTCTAGAGAGCGGTAGGGTAGTGGTTAGCACACAACCCGAATTCCCAAGTTCGATTCCCACTCACGGCCAACGCCACTGACGATCATCAGAATCAGAACATTTATTGCGGAGGAATCCGATGAGCTATAAAGCTTTCTGAACCGATCCTGGGCCTCGCATAGGTCGACTCGGCCTCAAATTATTACCCAGTGCGGTGTGTAAACATCGCATGGTGCTGTCCACCCACCTAACTGTGTGCCGTGCCAGCCTTCATAGGTGCCACTCCCTAACAGCACTTGCCCCAAAGTCGGTTGAGGCTATACGGAGGTCCTTTGTCATTGTTTGTCTCCAGACGATCGCACAGTGGCGGAAGGCAAACTACCAGGACCAGCCCGAGTACGAGAACTTCCGGCAGCTGCTGAAGGCTCCCCTGGATGACGCCCAGGACATCCTGCAGACGCGCTTCCCCATGCCGCGCTACATCGACACGGAGCACGGGGGCAGCCAGGCAAGCACACGTGCACACACACACACATGCAGGCGCGCAGACTCCGGACACAGATGCACACACAGACGTGCCCGTGCAGTGTGCACAGACGCGCCAACACCGAGAGACGGGGAAGCCGCATGCAGACACGCACACTCGGACACACAGATGCGCGTGCAGACGCACGCACAGATGCACACAGACGCACACAGTCAGATACGCAGACCCACACTCAGACACGCAGACCTGCAAGCAGACACGCAGACGCGCACGCAGACACGCAGATGCACGCACGCATGCAAGTGCACAGATGGACGTGCACACTCAGACAGATGCACACAGATATATGGATACACCTTCTTGTTTCTTTCGGTAAAGTCACGTAGAAGGGAAGTAATAAAATAATAAAAATAAAACATAATAAAACAATTCTCACGACGTTTCGGCTACAACGCAAGCAGCCGTCTTCAGGTGAAGAATGAGACACTACCAAACTAGGAGCTTATATATAAGCTGCATTGGGGGTTGAAGAGCGCCTTAACAAAAAGAATGTGCATGTGAAGAGGGATTTAGCATATTCATGGAAAATGCGTAGGCGTTGGGCGGGGGGGTGTCAAAGTCATATTATGCCCATGCATTATGCAGGATCAGCAGCAACCAAGGGGGGTGCAGGGATTAGCAGTAACAAAGGAAAGGAATGTTAATGATATGTAGCTGCAGTTACTCAACAACACGTAGAAAACTAAAGTATAAACTACATAAAAAACTAAAGTATAAACTGCATCGCACCATCAGTATACTTACTATACTCTATAATAAGCTGAGTTACTAACAGCAAGTAATACATTACAATTTTACCTCGTAAAAATTCTATAATATGCTTCCATCTAAACCTTATTCTCTTACATCACACGAGCATATACCGTACTATATACTGCCATAGATAAACCCAACATTAAATTATATACTGTATTGCTGTAAACCAACCTATATCTTATACATTTAATATCACACTATGTATTATTCTACACACCCTAATGTGTATAGAATAATACATAGTGTGATATTAAATGTATAAGATATAGGTTGGTTTACAGCAATACAGTATATAATTTAATGTTGGGTTTATCTATGGCAGTATATAGTACGGTATATGCTCGTGTGATGTAAGAGAATAAGGTTTAGATGGAAGCATATTATAGAATTTTTACGAGGTAAAATTGTAATGTATTACTTGCTGTTAGTAACTCAGCTTATTATAGAGTATAGTAAGTATACTGATGGTGCGATGCAGTTTATACTTTAGTTTTTTATGTAGTTTATACTTTAGTTTTCTACGTGTTGTTGAGTAACTGCAGCTACATATCATTAACATTCCTTTCCTTTGTTACTGCTAATCCCTGCACCCCCCTTGGTTGCTGCTGATCCTGCATAATGCATGGGCATAATATGACTTTGACACCCCCCCGCCCAACGCCTACGCATTTTCCATGAATATGCTAAATCCCTCTTCACATGCACATTCTTTTTGTTAAGGCGCTCTTCAACCCCCAATGCAGCTTATATATAAGCTCCTAGTTTGGTAGTGTCTCATTCTTCACCTGAAGACGGCTGCTTGCGTTGTAGCCGAAACGTCGTGAGAATTGTTTTATTATGTTTTATTTTTATTATTTTATTACTTCCCTTCTACGTGACTTTACTGAAAGAAACAAGAAGATGAATCCCTGCAGTCACGAAAGCTTTAAATCGAAAAATATGGATACACGTAAAGACAAAGCTTCCCCGTTATAGCCTTTAACATACTGTTGGGGCAAGTGCTGTTCGCAAGCTTTTGTCTTTCCAATTAACACACAGACACGCACACAGAGACACACACGCACCCAATGATCGTGTGCGTAGCGCTTCAGTTTATTTCCTGTCCTGAGTTTTTTTTCAAATTCACAGAAAGTGTTGAAAGAATTGGGCTATTGTTGCACAGAGGAAGTGCCACACTGCCCCCAACAAGTGGCCAGAGAGGGTGTATCCACAGAGGTGTGGTCTCGGGACAGATTTAGAGACGCTGATGTTATCCTACGGTTGGGAATAACGCTTAGGTCTCTGGGATCGTAGTGCAGCGCGCTAACCACTTCGCCACCGCTCTCAACACACGCACATGACGCATGCACGCACGCACTCACACTCTCCAACTTAACATTCGGAGGACGGTAACATATTGCAACAAATTATCTGAAGCCTTACTACTTTGGGATGTTTAAATTGATTAAGTGAATGTAAGTTTGAAAATTACACTTTCGTACATATAATTTGCTTTTGTTATATTCAGATATCCACTTTGCCAAGCTAGTAGAAATGTTTCCAGTAATGACTCCCTCTTTAGCAGCGGACTTTTAACTTGTGTCATCGTGTTCTTCGTCACGCCACGAGGTTTTCACACTTTTTCTCTTTTCGTCTCCAGGCCCGGTTCCTGCTGTCAAAAGTGAACCCTTCACAGACGCACAACAACATGTACGGCTGGGGACAGGTATTGATTGATTTACATATTTGCATTTACAAATCGTGTGTTTTTTTTTTCACGAAAAAAGTTCACAACTCGAGCACACATTTCCCAGCAGCTTTGCGACGATATCCAGCGTCTATTCGGCACGATATGCGACGTTTATTCGCTTCCAACGCGCGGAAGAAACTCCCGGCACATGGAGCGAAATGCCGGGCGTCGTGCCGAACGACGCGCAGCACGACCCGAACGCGTCGCGTCGGGGAGAGCGGCGCAGAAGCACAACCACGGAGACTTGCGCGCTTGGATTCTCACACCCGTGTTCGTTTGAGCTTTGCGTTTTATCGCAGGCATTAGTTCCGGCGGCTCTTTGGTTGTACCCATCTCGCCCCCACCGTGCGATGTCCACAGGGAGCCACGTAGAAGCCGTGGCTCTTCCTCCTGCTACTTTTATTTCTCGAGTTAAAAGTGGAACGATGGATAAGCGGCCTATCAGTGCACCAATAAAGTAGTCGGATGATGACGATTTATTTGCTCAGTTCCCTCGGCTAGACGGTTACATCGCGGTACCGATGGCGACGGCTTGGGGAGGCCTTCATCCAGCGGTGGATTGTGTATGGCTGATGATGGCGATGATGATCATGCAAGCCAACATAATTCAAGAAGTCGTTAGTAGTTGAATGATTTGAAGCACATTGTAATGTAGGCAGCGAGCAGTCGACCTGTCACTTGAAGTTTTTTCCCACTCTACGGGTCAGGTGATGTGTTATATTTATTTTTTTAAAACTTGCATTGTGGAAAATAATTTTGTTCAACTATTTTTGGTGGATCGCCCCATCCTCGTCCTGCTTTCCACATTTCCATTTACGAGCGGAACAACAACGGTGGCTTTAATGCACGCACTTCAAAAAAAAAAGGAAAAAAAATACCTTAATTTGCCGTCTCTCGAGATGCGTTCCCTTGATGAGGCCTATCGCTCCAAATGGGCAGTGCCCAAGGAAGGTGTTACAAGCGCTTAATTGTGTGTGGAAGAGCGTCCGTCTGGGGCGCAGCCAGCTGTCTCGTGAGGACACAGCCAGTGATAATGAGTACATTTGGTAGTTGAGTAACGTCTTATAGCGCACAGCCTCTCGCGAAGAACGGTATATGTAAGCTTTGCAGAACATTTCCTGCCCGAGGCTTCTGCAGGACTCGCTGGCGGTGAGTGACAAATCCTAGACGGTAACCGGCAGTGAGTTTCACATAGACATGCTAGAAACTTCAAAAGTATGCCAGTGAGTGAGCAGATGAGCGGGGTATGCCAGTGAGTTTCAGTGAGTCAGCGGATGAGTGGGGTAGGCGAGCGAGTGTGCGGGTAAGTAGACAAAGCAAAACTGCTCTGGGTCCTTCTCTCTTGCCGTCTTGGGGTGTAGGCTGATCCAGTTTGCCCGTGTGCTGCCGACCGGAGGTTGGACGATGATTTGTATCGGCAGAAAAACTGGCACCGTGCACACTTGCCAGCCGAGATCTCATCAACGCCCGCCCCCCCCCCGCCTTGTCGTGGTGTGTGCTAACGCAGGAGTCTGGCGCGCCCATCCTCACAGACGACGTCAGCCTGCAGGTCTTCATGGACCACCTCAAGCGCCTGGCGGTGTCCAGTGCCAACTAGGATGCGAGATAATAACGGAGCTTGCGGACTCACGCTCGACGCTAGGGTTGTCACCTGCGCGCGGTATATGTATAAAAAAAATAAACGAACGGGACATATCTTTGGAAGAGGAATCTCACGAGATCGTTATAAAGAGGGAAGAGCCACGCTTGAGTGCAATCGTGTTCAGGGTTTCATTGCAGATGGGGCTGAGCTCCAGAAAGTATTTCCCCCCCAGCATGCAGGGGGTTTTTGCGAACATCGAAAAATATGTCCACGAGTAATTAAACCCTGGATGTATTATAATAATAATTGTTATTATGCATCTGAAAAGAATAGGGGACTTTTGACTTTTGATGTCTCGGGAAGACTTAGCAGGTTTCGGAATTCCCACAGATTTTACCGGGACGTGCAGAGGTCGATTCTGGGGGGTGGTGGGTAACCAGGGACAGGTGGCAACCCTAGCCAAGACTCGCGGACGATTCGCGGCCACGTGAATCAACGGGGGGGGGGGGGGGGGGGCGGGGGGCGGCTGTCTGCTTGTGACTACTTTGGTAAAAACGATGGTGGTTTTCATCGTTAATGTTTTTCCACACACTGTACTTCGCGGTGGCGCTGCTTTGCTTCTTTTGTTCTAAAGAAGCCAGGGTATGAAAGGTTGCGTTCACCTCTCTCCCGGGCGCACGCCACGATTCCCCAGTGCCATCCGAATTACGGTTTTCTTGCGGACAGTTGTCGTCCGTATGACGGAGCAATACTGGCTGCACACTGACCAAACACACGCCAGGGTGACCAAACGCCCGCTTACAGAAACGTGTCTTTCCATGTAGTTTATTTAAATGTAACTTAATACTGTAATAGGAACAGTATTTAATTAAGTCAATGATAGCACACTTGTTTTAGCACCGGATGAATTTTTTTTTTTGAAATGTTCATAAGAGTATCGTAATTGTTTTAGATGTTTAAAATTACATGGAAATTATTATTATTATTATATGAAATGACCTTCAGCATTTTAAATGTTTTACCGTTTCTACGTAGTGTGAGGGTCATCAGACAAAATAAAACCGAATGAAATGGAACGTGCTTTCTCGGTGGTTGCCTTCACACATTAACGTCTTTTAATCATCGGCCATCGTCAGTCCACTGCTAGATGAATGCCTCCATAAAAAGGTCGGAATCACCAATCCACCCAGCACCTGCGCACACACACACACACGGGTCGATGTCATCGCTCCGTCTCATCGGTCGAGGTTCCCTTGGACGCCTTCTGTGCCTTGCCTTGCACTCCATCACTCCCCTTGCCCTTCCCCCGCACCTCCGATTAGCACTGTCGGCTACGTACGGTGCAAAAGAAGTTCAACGTGTACATTCATACTTGACCATCAGCCGGCGTCGGTCCCTTCTAACAAAGTGCCCAGCCCAAACCTTCATTTCTCAACCATCTGAACGATGTATTTTACAATGTCTTTTTTTTTACCAGTGGACTGTTGTAATGCCACCGCAGGGAGGAGGAGGTGGCATGACGAATCTGGCAAGCACGGCTAACGTCAGTGGCGAGTGACATTTGAACCAGTTCTTGGGTACTCCCTTCGCCAAACCCGCAACTGACCGGCGCGATTGAAGCATGGTGAAACAACTCTCCGCTGCTGGATGGAGGCTTTTATGCAGCAGTGTATTGACAACGACCCGTACACTCTTAGGTAAAAATTATCTCCCCACACCTTTGCACAACTCTGAAGCTGGGCATTTAATTTCGCATCGATTTCAAAACAAAATAAGTGAACTTGTCAAGACGTGTTTACATTCAGCCCCTCCCGGCGGGTCCCTCGTTAACATGATGGCGATAATGATGATGATGAGATAGAAGGTGTTGACAGCATGTGGCGAAAATTGTGACGCAAACTGTTAAGGTTTTGCAGTCGCACAATTAACGGGTGTCCCCCCCCCGGCCCTCTTGAGAGGGGGCCTCATTAGGCTGATAAACGTCCAAGCACACGAGTGCTGCGACTATTTCAAGCAGCCCACCAGTGTGTGAACAATTGCTTAAGAGCCATGAGCTGCCATCCACTTGTGATTGGAATCCATTAGCCCTCGTTGATCCCCGATGTGAGATTAGGCATAATGACGATAAAGAGCTTGTCGATTCGATCTCCCAGCTCAGCAGCTAAAAACGAAATAATTTTTTATTTTTTATGTTACCAGGTAAGGGCCCACTAAGCTGTGTGGCTCTTTTTCAGAAGCGACCTGGCCACAAATGATAGCTCAACGAAAGTGGCTTGTCGCGCATGTAAATTTAGAGCTGGCCAAATAAACGCGTGATGTTGATTCTGAACGTGGAGGGGAAAAACCCGGAGGTCCCGGAGAAAACATCCACCCGACCACAAGGAAAATATGCAAGCTCCAAATATACAGCAGGCGGTCAAGGGTCGTGATCGAACCCACGGACGGCCTCCTCCACACATGGCGAGGCAGTTAACATCTCGCCACTGTGGCGCCACAGAAGCAAGGGGTACATTTATCAATTACCCCCCCCCCTTTCCACTATCCACCCAGCAGATCATTTTACATTTGCCGATCGGCAGGTAGCGTGTGGTGGGGTAAAGAAGTGTGGGGTCCTCTCCCGCCGCTTCCAAGACGTCTGGTCCGCGTGGAAGAGGAGGCCAAGTACCCTCTTCGGAGGGAGCTCTCTGGAGCTCCGTCGATGTAAGGACCTGTCAGCCAGCAGTGGAGTGAGCAAGGCTGTGCCTTTACCCTGGCAGCGATAAAACACGAGTCTCCTCGGTTCACGAGATTGACTCGAGGTGGCCTTAAACTACTGATCACATGAAATAAAACAAAAGCCGCTCTCACGAGCTGTGACGATGTGAAGGGTCACCTCGTGCAGGATTCACGTTCAAGGCAATGCTCTCAAGCGTTTTCAATTTACCTTCACAATGGATCCGCGCGAAGCGACTTTTTCACGCGAACAGCAGCGGATGATGCACCTGAATGGCAGCGGCGCTGAAGGATCTCGCACCGTGGAGGCAGCGGGGGTTGGTGGCTCGTGCAAGTGTTGCGAAACTACCCGTGGCTTGCCACGAGAACGCGGTTCAAGTAACAATGACAATGCGACATCCACCTCCTCCTGTTCCATGTTTTGCGGGATGTGAGCGTTGCAACCCCCCCCCACACCCCACACTCGCACACGCGGGTTTTCTCCGGTCGCTCCGGTTTCCTCCCACAGGTGAACGCTCATTCATTCGTCGTTAACATCTTGATACACAGAGGACCGCAGAGCTTGGCGCGCGGATTACCTGCCTGGCTGCTGTGGGTTCCTCCACAGTCGTGCTCTCGCTTCGTGAGCGAGTGAATAACCGCACGCGTTTAAAGTTGAAATGATAAGCATTGTTACACGATGACTTTTAATTACGATTTCAGCTTCTTATTATAATTATGAGAACTATTCTTGTGGGAGCCGTGATGACTCTTTGTCCCTGAGTGGGTAATCATTTGTTAATTGGTTTTTTACCCTTTTATCTGGCAACAAAACTGACACCTTTTTTTACGAGGAGTCATGTTTGCATAGACCACAATACCTGCAGTCATAATGCAAACAAAAAACATAACTCTAATGTATGCACTGTCCTTGAAGTTGATTGGTCCACACCCGAGACAGCTTTCCTTAGAGCCTAGTCTCACATGGGTTGGACCAGATGACGCCAAAAGGCGCCTTTTGGCGTCATCTGGTCCAACCCATGTGAGACTAGGCTCGGGTGTGGACCAATCAACTTCAAGGACAGTGCATACATTATCAGAGTTATGTTTTTTGTTTGCATTATGACTGCAGGTATTGTGGTCTATGCAAACATGACTCCTCGTAAAAAAGGTGTCAGTCGTGTTGCCAGATAAAAGGGTAAAAAACCAATATCATATTTTTTACTGGCAAATGAGGTACCAATGGTGTAATCATTTGTTATTCAAAAACAGCCAAAGAACACCCTATAGGCTGCATTAAGCTGTTGGAGCAAGTGCTGTTTGTTGCCTATTAGCGAGCACGGGGCCCATCACGGTGGTGTGGCGAGGGAGACGCATTACACGCCCAGCCACCTTTGTCTCCCCGGTGTTGATGTGTGCACACCGCATCCTGGCACTCATTTACAAAGCCGAGTCTCGACCCTGGTGGAGACCCGGGACCGGTTCAGATGTCACTCGATCGCTCCTGAAGTTAGCACGCGGGGCGGGATTCGAACTCGGTTAGCCGGCTTCGTAGCAGACCTCGCTCACCGCTGCACCACCGCTCTAAGCAATACTCTTTGGTTCTTTCGGTAAAGTCACGTAGATAGGAAATTAATAGATCACGACGTTTTGATCGCAACACAAGCGACCGTCTTCAGGTGAGATCGCTCTAGGCAAGTTATTGCGTACGAACAGAAGGCGTCATTGAAACCTCCTTGCAAATGAGACTCAACTCCCGGTTTCCCCTTTTGAGTTCTCTCCCGGTTAAAGGAAACAATTCAAACTCTTAGGTTTTTTCGATAAAGTCACGTAGGTAAAAAATAAAATAAATAAAAATAAAATAAAAATCACGACGTTTCGGAGGCAACACAAGCTTCCGTCTTCAGGTGGAACCGTCACAGCACGATTGCTGTATCAAGTAAAGAGAAATTCGAAGAGACCCGTCCTTGTATATATACTGGTTGAGGGGGGGGGGGAGCCAAGGTAGGCTCCTGGATCGGAGTTTTGTATTATTATTGTGAGGTTGGTGCGGCTGAGGTTGCTGCTAGGAATGAGCCTTTGTTGTGTAGACTGGTTGAACTGGGAGGTGCCAGAGTTGTTTAGGTGCGGCTGCTGTAAATGGGACTGAGCCTTTGTTATGTAGATGAAACAGCCCTTTGCAATGTTGCTGGGTGGGTAAAACTTAAAGCAGGAAACCAGTGTGTGAATAAAGAAGCTAAATATGATAAAACAAAACTGGCTGTCTTATCAGTAAACTGTACGGTAACTAAAGAATAGTGCCTGTCAAAAAAGGTGGTCCAAATATGTGTAGTTAAATCTTTTTTGCATGGTTAATAACATCTTTCCAATGATTATTCAGTTTGTACCCAAACAGAGCTCGTAAACAATGCAACTTCACCCGACTTGATTACACCACCGGCGCGTTCACCTTCACGCGCGCGATGGACGAGGTTTACGGCGGAACATTTTGTGAATTGTTAATCGTCTCGTGAGTTTCGCTGGAATTGCAATGATCTGTGTGCGGTGCGCGCCGTGATTGGAATTTTCATTTTTTTTTTGGGGGGGGGGGGGGGGGCACGGAGAGAGCCAGGGAGAGGAGGCAACGTGGATGAGAGAGAGAGCGCACACGCGAGTTTGTGACTTTCAATCTGCTCCGTAACAAAACGGACACACAGACAATGCGCTTCCTTCTTTGTTGTCGTATCCCCCGGATGATGAGACGCACTCCGAACCCGTGCCCCGCGTCAACACGGGTTGCGTGTGCGTGTCAATTGGAACTTCTTTCACACCGTGCGTAGCCAGCCGTGATAAATCGGAGGTGAGATTAGCTGGTCGCAGAGCTCGTAACGCACACACACACACCCCGGACTATGAGACGCACCCCAAATATTGATTTAACATGGAAGAGGGAAAGCGTGTCTCGTAATCCAGATAATGCTGTATATATGTAGAGTTGAAGGCTTACCGAATCAGTCTGGCACAATCTGAGATCCAATACAAGCCAAAGTGCCCCAGCATAGATTTATCTATTCTGGAGGAATCCGATGAGCTATAGATTTCGTTAGAACTGCCAAATATAGGAAACAAATCACTGAAAATTATACAAATAAAACTAAATAATTGGTTATTTAACCCAGGTAAAGCCCACAAAGGTATTCGCTTATTTTTTCAGAAGCGAACTGGCCACAGACGAGAGCCCCGCAAAGTGGCTTATCACGTGGAAATGTTTCGCAGCAAAATATTCTAAATACTATCAATGCATGCTTATAAATGTGGAGGGTCAAACCGGAGGACCCGGAGGAAAAAAAAAAAGATATTCGACCACCACGGGGGAGAAAGACAAACAACCTCCAAATATACAGCA